ACGTAGGCTGAAAACCGGCTGACCAGCTGGGCTCAGAGGGCTGGGTTCACTGGCACAAAGTCCACCTGGAGACTGGTCGCTAGTGGTGTGCCCCAGGGGTCAATAACGGGGCCAACTACTCTTCAACCTCGTCATTAATGACCTGGACACCGGGACGCCGTCAGGACGTCTGCAGCTCACACAAAGCCGGGAGGAGCGGCGGATGGACCCGAGGGTCGTGCTGCCGTTCAGAGGGACCTGGACAGGCTGGAGAAATGGGCTGAGAGGAACCTCATGAGTTCAGCAAGGGCCCAAGTCCTGCTGCTGGGCAGGGCTAGCCCCACGCACCAGTGCACACTGGGGGCTGACTGGGTGGAAAGCAGCTTTGCAGAGAAGCACCTGAGAGTCCTGGTTGGACACCCAAGCTGCCCACGAGCCAGCAAGCCACCCTCACAGCAAAGCTGGCCACCAGCATCCTGGGCTGCATTAAGACCATCTCCAGCAGGTCGAGAGGGTGATCCTGCCCCTCTGCTCAGCACTGGTGAGACACAGCTGGTGTGCTGGGCCAGTGCTGGGCTCCCCAGGACAGGAGGGACAGGGACATACAAGTGCAGCAAACGGCCAAGCTGATGATTTAGAGCTTGGACTGGTTGAGAAGAGCCTGCAGGAGCTGGGCTTGGTCAGCTGGGAGAAGCGGAGGCTCAGGGTGACCTTACTGATGCATCCAATGGTGAGGGGGATAAAAATGAGCTACAAGAGGCAATGTCAGCAAGCTGAAACACAGGAAATTCCATTTAGATGTCAGAAAAAGCCTTTTTTTAACCGTAAGCATGGTCTAACCCTGCACCAGGCTGCCCGGAGAGGTTGTGCAGCCCACCCCACCCCGAGCACCCTGCTCTTGCTGCCCCTGTGCCAAGCCAGGGGTGGGACGGGGCGATCCGAGGGGTCCCTGCCCCCCTCGGCGACGCGGTGACGCTGCAAACAGCACCAGCTCCTGCAGAGCCCAAAGCGGAGAAAACACAGAAAAAATCCTGGGCCAGAAGTGATGGTCCTGCCCTCGGCAGCTCCTGCGGCCGAGCGGCGAGCGGCAAGCGGCAGTGCCAGCTCAGAGCATCCTTCCCTGCCCGCTCTGGCCCAAAGCGGGTCTAAAAATTGCAGGTTTTTAGCCTCGAATCAGCCCAAAAAAGCCCCCAAAACCCAACCCAGACGTCTCCAGGCACACGCTGAGGCTCTGAAAATCCCGTGTCTAAACAGCTCCCGGGACGTGGGCGTCCCAAAGGGACAGAGAAGCGGCCGCGGGGGGGAAAACCAGGGATTTGTAAGTCCTGCCACGGGCTTTATACAAAGATACTAACCTCCCCTGCAGACCTGCGCAGCTCCTCCTCCCCTCTCACCCCCCAGGGCCGGCCACTTATTTGACTATATATTTTTTTTAAAAGTACGAGGCCATCTGCCAAAAAGAGCGTAAATAAGGAGGCGCCACACCCCGGTGTTACAAAACCTTGTATTAATCATCTCCCTTCACTTTCAATATAACGTTGATATGAAATATAGCCATGATTCCTAGTTACATGGGAGGAAATGAGTAATAAATACATTGGAGCAAGTCGAAATCACGAGGGTGTTTCACTGGGAACAACATTTGAAAACTGTACACTTGCAAAGACCGGCATCTCCAAACATTAGTATTTCTTTATATCGGGAAGCTTTTACATGTAACAAACATGCTATTTCCATATATGACAGAAAAAAAAAAAAGAAGAATTTAAAAAATATGCATTGCTCGGCAACATTAACTAGGCAAAAATAGTTCTTTGTGCACTAACTTTGTACAGAAAAACCAGGACTAAAGGCATGCATGTACAATAAAAGGCTGCCCGGGAACGGCATGCAACAGAAGAGAGTTCAAAGCTTTTTAAAGTAAGCTTACAATATGCATAAATACATAAGGGTTATATATATTAATAAGGGAGGAAGTATTCTGTTTAACATTATTAACATTCCTGTTTTTTTTTTTTTTCTTCCTATTCCTCCCAGAGGAATACACATTCACCTTTAAGTAAAGATAAAGGAATACAAAAAATAAAACTCACTTTGCAAACTCTGATGACTTGTATAAAATCAACTTTAGTGTTATCGTCGCTGTGTGCAAATTATAGACGTCTGCAGGACCCACTTTCCATCAGGCACATTCAGAAAGCCAAACCTGGGGCACGGCCGCGCCCCGACATGGAGAAAGGTGACAACAGAAAGAGTTTCCCTAAGTGCTGACCAAACTCGAGCTTCGCTCCGCGCCGCTCGCGGGCGTAAATCACAGTTTTGGATTTTCCTGCTGGATGCTGGCCGGGCTTGAACCCACCCCCCCAAGATTTTTTTTTTAAAGAGCTGAGCAAGCAAAGGCAAAGCCCAGCTCAAGTCCAGTCGAGCTCAGGGCTTGTCCCTGGGGAGGGGGAGGACACCTCGAAAGAAAAGGGATTAGTTTTCTTTTTTCTTTTTTTCCCTGGGTGTCGCAGCCGTGGGGAGCATCCGCCGGACCCAAGGACACTTGGGCGCTGAGCTGGCCGGCCTCCCCCGCGGCAGCCGGGGACGGCTCAGGGGAACAGCACCAGTAAAAGGTCCCCGGCGGGTGCTGGGGGGCCAGGGGCTGCCTCTGGGGGAGCAGGGGGGAGATGCCCACCCGAGGGCCCCCGCGGCGGCGACATCGCCCTCGCCACGGCATCATCGCCCTCGCCACGATGCGCGCGTGGTACAAAACAGTTGCACGGGGGGGTGAACGGGTGAATACAAAAAAGAAAGGCACTGCCGCTTTATTACTAAAGATTTGACTTCACAGCCTCACTCATGCAACTGTGGTTTGGTTTTTTTTTTTTTCTCTTTTTTCTTTTTATAAATAATTTTTATTTTCTTCTAGGATTCGAGCTTTTTTTTTTTTTTTTTTTTTTCCCCCCTTT